AAAAAAGGAGAAGAAGAAGGCTGAATTTTTGTTGAATCAAAGACTGCCGAAAATATGTCTTCTTGCCAAACCAACAGAGAAGAGATGAACCAAAGAAAAAGACAAAACTTATAGTCTTTGGTGGCTGTCAAATTCCTTTTTAACTAGAAGACTCCAAACCAAGCCTTGGATAAGAGTCATACACGGGTAAGCCACTAAAAAATTAGCAAATTGATGAGTCCCACAAAGGAGGAAAACCCAACATATGATAGAGGAGAAAGGTACCTTCGACAGAGATATTCCTAATTATGTAGTGTCATAATCATATTTTAGTAGATAAATAAGAAAAAATCTCTTGACAAGAATGTGTGCATTGTGTATTTAGTGCACAGGTAATTGTGTATAATTGGACTTTCGTGCAATGTACGTGCAGGGCGTGCGTACAATGTTCGTGCAAGGCATGTGCGTAGATGTATACATGCATAAACTAGGATGCGTTCAATGTGCTTGCAAACACGATTGAACAAATATTTTGAAGAAATTTTAGTGGTATATTATTCTCATACTGTAATAGTGTCACTTCACAGTAGGTTAACATAAAGTAGTTGTTCTACTTCTTGTTGGTTGTTTTAAACAATATTTAATTTATTATGCCAAATTTACTATAACCTACAGAGGTGAGTTTACTATATAACCTTGTGTTAGAGAAATTACAGGCTATAAAAATTTTCTTCAGACATAGACTTGTTATTGGAACAGGTTTGAATTAAATTTGTACTATGTTTGATAACACCATTCAAAAATTTAAAGCTGAATATTTTAAATTAAATTTATTTGATAATCTAAAATTCATACTACTTAATATTTTAAGCACTTTTTAAAAATAAGTTAAAATTTTAATTATCAAGTCATTTATTTATTACTTAATACTGAAAATGTTAGTTAATAAGGATTTTATCAATATCTTATGATGAACAAATATACCCTCACCACCATTATGTCATTGCCACCACCACCAAGACTCTCCTTTTTTTTTTCTAGGTTTAATGGAGTTATTCTTGTCAATTTAGGTTTTCTTTGATTTCGATCAAAAGTTAGTCATTTTTGTCAGAATTAAGATATTTACGAACGATAAATCTTTCGTGATCTAGTCCCAAAAAATTAACAAAATTTAAATCGAAGGCATATGAATTTACAAACTTTTCTGTATTATCATTTTATCTTTATCAATCAATCAAAACACTCATCAATTGCAAACGATAAGAGTAACGGAATACATACATGGCAAGAAGATTATAAAAGAACAATCCAGTATAATTATCTATATGTACAGGTGATAGAAAAAGGATCTAAAAGAGAAAATCTTCCCTTATATATACAAATCAAAGCAGATTTCAAAGCACAGTATATGTTGTTACACAGAAATACAAGGCAATAAAGGAAAAATATAAGGAGAAACTGAAACCAGCTGAGCTCAATACTACCCACAGACCAAAAGCTACAAGCTTGGTTCCTTAAAAAATCCTCTCAGTAAAACCTAATAACCATCAAAGGGGTAGAAAGCAAGGAGAGTCCGGGGACTTTTCTCTAAAGCTAGCATCCCTCTGGTCTCTCTCTCTCTCTCTCTCTCTCTCTATATATATATATATATATAACTATAACTTTTAGCTGTAACAACCAACATTACTATGCTTGATTTTCTAAGTCCTTTGAGCATATGAAAGTCCCGTGAAATCCATATGGAACCCTTGAAGGAAGCTTAACCGATGCCTCTAACGTCATATCCATGGCGTTGATGATCTGAAGCTCTGATTTCCATTTCTTCTCGTCATGAACAAATGCCAGAATATACCCATCATCTTCTCTCTCTGAATTTCCCTCTCTTGGCACAAAATAAGGCTCTCCACCGTATTGCCGATCACCGTAGATGAACTTCTGTATTTCTCCGGTGGAGAGGTCGACCTTGGCGAAACCTGAAACTTTTGGCCATGGCTCAGCAATGGCGAGATAAGCATATTGGGTTTTCCGACCAAGAAGGTTCCTATTCACCATACCGGCTTCTAAGTTCACCTGCTCGCTCTCCGGAATGATTGGTCGCCGTTTTGACTCTCCGGTCTTCAAGTTAAGCCTGATTTCCGATAATACACTCTTCAGATTCTCATCACATTCGTTGAAAATGGAGTCTGGAGGTGTCATGCATGAGCCTATGACCACGACTTCATCGGTTTCAGGTTCTTCCCAAGCATTCCAGAGATGAAAGCAGAAAGTTTCCGGCGACTCTACCCAGATGATATCTGAAGCATTTCGAGCGTTTTTTGATAGAATTCCGAACCGGGACTTCTTGTTCTTTTCGTACATCACCGGAGAGCCACCTCTGATCATCTCTTGAAGCTTGAACACCACTTGTTGATCTGGTATCACCACATAGTTCTCGGTGATCGCAAAGTCATGCATCATTGTCGGTACGTCCAGAGAAATTTCAACTTCCGGCGACTTTTCCCCGTCACTAGAGAATTTGAAGTACTTGAGATACGGCTTCTGGACAACGTCATAGCTGAGAGCGAAGAGCTCACCGGACAATGGGTCAAGCTTGGGGTGAGCAATCATGGTGGACCGGAGTTGATCATCGAAGTCATACCGGCCGATGGTCTCAATGTCGCCGCAGGGCTTGATGCAAACTTGGTAAGGAAGGTCATCCTCCGACATGGCGAGAAGTCTCCGGTTGAAGTATACCAAGCCGGCGTTGGCCACTCCTGTGCCGTTGCTGTGATCAACGAGGCCAAATAGTCCTCGGGCATAGAAGAGAAGAAGACGAGCAATACCGGAGTGTCCATGAAGCTCACCAATGGCTTTAGGGAAAACCGACCGGCCTAATTCTCTTTCTTGAATGAGTCTTCGTGTTTCAGTGAACCGGCAAGCATAGCTAACTGAATCGCCATTGATGCAAACTGCATGAACCATGCCGTCGCCGTCAAATAAATGGTGTCCGGCGACCGGTTCAAACAATGGGTTAGCGCCGTTTCTCACATAAACCCCATTAATGCAGTCGGGTATAGTGCCAGAGACCGGTAAGTTGTGCCTAACAGGCTGTTCCGGCACCGGAGAAAAGTTTCCGGCTATTTGTACACCAGGGTCGGCTGTTTTGGGAAGTGGGTGTTGGAGCTCGCGTGAGACCAACGCGCCTTCCATCATGTCTAAGGCTTTAGCTGCTGCTCTTTGAAGTAAATTCCAGTGTGGTGGTTGAGCTGTTTTGAGTGTATCATTGGAGTCCTTTTTGGTAATTATTGGTGAATGATGGGGATGTTTTGGGAATTCTAGCACTGAAGGTGAGTGTAGAGCACTGTAAATTTTGGCTCTTCTACTGGGCTTCCTAGTGGAGAAGAACCTTGAAGGCAAGCCCTTGTTATCTAGTGATGAATTTGAGAATGGTTGAGGAATTTTGGCTCCAGCCCATGTACTAAAACTTGTAGCTGGTGTAGAAGAAGCCATGGTTTTGGTNTTGTTATCTAGTGATGAATTTGAGAATGGTTGAGGAATTTGGGCTCCAGCCCATGTACTAAAACTTGTAGCTGGTGTAGAAGAAGCCATGGTTTTGGTTTTTGAAGTTCTCAGGGTGGTCACAATTTGCCGGAGAGAGAAAAAGTTAAGAGAGAAAGAGGAGAGAGAGAGAGAGAGAGAGAGAGAGAGAGAATGTGAGTTTTGGGGGAGAAGACAGTGATGGAGTGGAGTATAAATAGCGTTGGGTGGGGGGGAGGTGTGAAAAGAGAGCAGTGTAGTGTATGAAGGCCCACCTCAGACATGTAGAAGACCACGTGGTGGATTGGTGGAAAGGGCACTTGGGTTTTGACATAGAAGAGAGATAGAGGAACATACACATAGCCTTGTTTATGACATATGACATGACGAATGACCAATATATGTGTTAGAGTATATGCTAGTGTGTGTGGGAGAGAGAGAGAGTCAATATATATGTTAGACCATATGCTAGTGTGTGTGTGTGGGTGACCGTGTGAGAGACAAGGTGGGTGGAAGGTTGAACAAGGTGTATAATTGGTGGGGAGCTCTTAGATGAAGGACCAATAAGGGATGGGATTAGGGTCAGAAGGCATAGTCATATCCACGTAAAGGTAAAGTGAAATGAAATCAGTATCTAATTAAACCTATCCATTTCTATCTAATGGGTGTGAGTGACACCATTTTCTTTTCTCTTTCCTAAACCTCAACTCATGGTGTCTCACTCCGCGTATTTCCCTCTTGCATGAGGGTCTTGCCCCACCCCCACGTGGCTGTTTTCTTCTCCCTTTCAACCATGAAATCTTGGACACACCACCTACCCCACATCTCTCTCTCTCTCGACATATACAAATATGTCTATATGTATAGTATATACAATATATGTGATTTGAACCCAGAAGAATAAACTATAGAAAGTGATCTTCGTATTAAAACCATGACCCCTCTTGTCTGTTTCTAACACATTCCATACCCAAACGAAAACAATGTTTTTTATTTTCCTAGCAATGTGGTAGGTGAATGACTGTTACTATCTTATTTGAGGGCGGGTTTTGTTTTAGTGGTAAATTTATTTCATTCCGATCCGACTGAATAGTTTATCGATAGAGATGTTTATATCTTATCTTCTCTATATCCTACAACAATTATGAATTCATGTATTGAGTTATATTATCGACTATTTATTTAGATGTCTTGAATTCGAATATTTGTAACCACTTTTTGGATTTACATTTGATATAAGGTATTGATGGGTTAAAATATCAAAAATCAAGTGCACCTATCAATATTTATCCCTATGATATTAAATGCTAGTGCATTTAAATTTGGATAACGTCAACTAGACAATGACATACGCATCAATCTTAACCATAAACAAATGTCTAAAGCATCTTGTTTAGGGGTCCCCAATCTTCTCCATGTGAATGACCATATCAAAGGTACAGTTTGTAGCATTCAGGATCGATAAAGATGAAACCATTGCTGGTCCTCCTCAGAAATTGGCTAAATGCACAGCGCGGTTGCTAAGTTGGGAAATAGTCTGAAAGCTTAAGCTGATTGAGAAGAGTGTAGCATAATTATTTAACTATTAGTCTCCGCACGTGCGACCCATTTATGAGTGGTCCGTCCATGTGATTGTATTGTGTTGTAATGGAGAAATTATTGGTGTGGTTTGAACTTAGGACCTTTAAGTTCTAATCCCTAAAAGATCCTATTTCGGTCCCTAGCGGCGGTCGAATTAGCCGCAGTCAAGGGCCATAGGAAAAAAACTATGAAAATGATAGCTGAGACATATGTTAACGAAAGCTGTAGTTTTAGATAGTAGAACTGAAGGAGAGGTTAACATGTTGAGGAGAGGATAACCTATTAAGGGTTTTTGATTTGGCTTAGAGTCCAAATTATTTCCAAGAAAAAAACAGAGATTGATAAGCATGGTACTGTCAAATTATATGATATTATTCCATTTTAAGGTTAGGCCTGCAACAATAATGAGTGTCCATCTGTCAAAGCAAGACATAGTGAATTCGCGTTCAAAAATCAACTTTTATTTCATTTACCTCTCTCAGACCCTACTATCAGTTTGAGGTGTGTGTACTAGGTGCAACCTTTCTCTTTTATTCCATTTTGTGATAACGAAATTAAGAATGCCCAAATAGATCATTGAGATTCAAGTTGGCAAATAATTGGGTGCATTAGAAAACATTTAACAAAGAAAGGAATAACATGGCTTCATTAAATGCTATAGACAAATTGAAACCAAACATGATCTTTGAAATATGATGTTTTATGCCCCATGTTAGGTTGCTACAAACACCAATACTGATATAATTAGTCTAAAGATATTTGAATGGGATTTAAAATTTTGTATTTTTAATTTAAAAATCAATTAAACAAACAAACTCTGAAAGATTTTCTCAATAAATATCTCAATCCTCTATTGGGAGGCAAGTGATGGTGTTAGGTGCTGCCATATATGTTACTGTACACCTGTTTATATTGTCATTTTGCGTTACCAATCACTTGTATGGATATCATCCTCTTAACTCACTTAAAGTCTATCTCTCTCTCACTCACTTCTAGGATTCAAAGGGTCAACTTAGAGGGGTACTCCTTTTGCGTTATATAAGTTGTTATTAATATATAGAACTGAACTATGGAGCTTAGTCTCCCTAATGTCATGGATGACTATAAGGGCCACATTAACAGTGCAATATATATATGATTGTGTGTGATTGTGTAGAGAGAGAGGGGGGGGGGAGAGGGAGATTGTTTGGTCTTGCTCACAATGCAAGCAACACGCTTCACTTTCTTAATGCACAAACTTTACACTATTTCGCTTCATGGATTTTGTTTATTAGTTTCCCAGGTCTTCGAAAACTAGTCTTAGAAGTTTAGGTTATTAGGGGAGATATTGGTGATCTTGCCTGCCTATAAGCCAAAAGTAACATAAATGATTGAAACGAATGAACATACTATGAATATTGTACAAAGAAAAGTTACATTGTAAGACAAATATAGAAATATTTGCCAAGGGTTAAGGGTTAAGGTGGGAAGAGATCTCCAGAGAAAAAAAATAACGTAATCAGTACAGAAGATTCTCGCCTATACAAGAATCTAGAAGAAATAAATAGTTAAAAACTCTTATAAAAACCACAACATGCCATTTTATGATTTAAAGTTTTCACCAAGACGCGATTAAAAACCCTAAAAGAAAGGCGAGCAGAATAAAATCCAACGAGTACAAAGTAATGATATTACAATTGAAGTTCTGTCAATTGCAAGTAAAATCTCTGCCTAACTTGTTAATTCATCAAAGTGGAGAAATAAGAGAAACAAGTTGGCCACTTTTGCACTACATCAACTCATATGGAGATTTCAAGTGCTTTCATGGCCTTAATCTGAAAATTGTCCGTCATCTCAAGTTGTTGATGTAAATGGGGCTTCCTGGTCCTTGCGGGGGACAATGGAGAACCCTACTGCAACCCAAGACCTCAAAAATAAGTATCTTCAAGCCAATGACTATGACAAGAGAACTGTCACAAACGGCCTAAATGCAACCAATTCTAACCTCCACTTTGGGGTGAGGTCAAGCACAGCAAAAAGGAACTCAGTTCATGAAACTTTTGTCGGTACAAGATCTAGAGAGTGTCATGTATATGCAGTCTTATTATTCAAGTTCGTTGCCTTGTTTTTCTGATTTATTTACTCTCATAAGCAACCTTTTTCTTATGACCATTCAATTCGTAGTATAATATTTTAAGTTTGTCGCGGACAAAAATTAATTTAATTTAATTAAGATATTACTATTGGAACTTATCCCTATTCACCAATATATATTGGTCCAGTGGTGATGGCTCATTCTCGCCTACAGGTGGTCGCGGGTTTAAACCTCATTCCCTCCCGCTCCTAAAAAGAAAAATTATTGAAGCCCCAAATTGCATCCAATCAAGACAAACCCAAGACTGCCCTCTTGACTAATTAAGTCGAGAATAAATAGATGGGAAAAATATTGAGCAGTTATAATAGAAAATGATAAATTTTGTTGTCGAACTAATTCTTTTACACGGGTTGAGACATTCTTCAATCCATTTTTCCTTTCATTTTTCATTCTTGGTAAATATACGGGCACTAGAACTCAAAATGTGTTGTTTTATATCTGGTACATGTTTGATTACTGAACCGATTCATGTGCATTAATCAGCTCGATTATCGTCCAACAAATTATATCATAGTTCCTCAGAAAAAAAATTCCATGAGAGTGAAATGGGGTTATCACACTATCGATTAGATTGGTGGTATGACAGTCTGCTTCTGCCTGGCATCCCTAACCAACTGCACATCGCACAACTTGCATAGCTTTGACACAACATGCATGATGAATGACATCCAATATCCTTTTTGGCCAATCGTCCTTTGTAGTGGTTTGAATTATATCTCATCTTGTTGCTCCTTCTACATTGTCATTCATTAAAAAACAAAAGTTATTCACAATATCTCTCGGGATATGAAAGGGGTTGTTAAATCGTCTTTCGAATTGAGGGATTATTTTCCTCTAGATAAGATGTCATTTTCTCTTGAATATCTTTCTAGCGAGTATAACTCATGGAGCCCATATTAGGGTTTAGGCGTATCTTAAAATATATTATATAATAATTTTTAAAAAAAATAATATTTATACTGTTCAAAAAATAATTACAGGCTCTAGATTAAAGATGGAAAGCCGAGGACGAAACCATATTAACAAGCAATGAAACTTTTGAAAAGATATTCAGTGCTTTGTGAGTACTATGTGACACTGCCATGTAGTGTTCACATCTAAGGAAAAATTGTTATAACACTTTTTCTTTTTTTTTTAATTTGACAACTTCATAAGCAACAATCATTAATTGTGAATATACAATATTTTATAGGTAAAGTGCACAATACCATTTTTTTTTAAAGGAGCGCGACACGAGGACTTTTCAAGGGATATGTGG